CCGACTTAGCTTGATTTATATGGTCAAATGAAAAATGTGGCAAAGATTTCATCTCACTCATATAGACGGTAAAGCTGATTGCTCTCTCAAAAGACTAAAGGATAACATCGCGCTGATCAATATCATCGTGGGTTGAGGTTGATTCGGCTTCATTGTCTTGAGATTCAATGACTAGCTCCTGAACAAGGACTGCATCCACTACTTGTTTTATCTCTTCAAGAATGGTGTTTTTGAACAGCTCTGAGTCGTTGTTAACATCAATCAAACTCTGCTCAATTCCACCCCGAATGTCAATATCACGATTATCACCAAAGAAATCACAATTGTTGAGCAAACAAACAATTTGGTCCATAGTTTTGTCATTGTCGTTGCCAAGGTCAACACTGCGGAATGCAGAAATAATATTTGCCTTTTTAAAAGCATTTTTTCAAACTCTCAACGGAAGTTTTGTTCTAGGCAATGATACTGAAGTTTGCAGCGTCCAACAAATGTGTACTACATCCGTAAAACAACACTGTAGCGCCTCGCGTTCCAACTTCGATGTAGTTGTTGTCAGTTGATACTTCAAACTTTGCAAATTATTGTGGTAGGCAATCAAATCTTTAAGTAGCAAATACTTGTATCGCTTTTTCAAGGATGCAATGATGTTCATGTCCATCGGTTGCTTCCACAACGTAACATTTGGTGGGAAGAACACCACGTGGATACCATTCCGCTCAAAGGTAGATGAGTGATCAAGAGCGTTATCAAGGATCAAGAGAACCTTACGATCTGTATGTTTGCAAAAATATGGCTCAAAAACCTCATTGAACCACTTATTGAAAGGCGGCACGTCAATCCATACGTTCTTTTGCTGAAGATACAAAATTGGCCAGTTGTTGCCTGAAATGCATGCGGTCTCCTTCACCTTTTTGATCATGGTGATTGGAACTCGTTCAATTCTTCTAGCATTGCAACAAACCATAAAAATCATGCGGTCTTTCGCTTTTTTCTTGCCCCGGACTTTTGATATATCTTCATTTGGCATGAAAACGGTGTAACTTGGAACAAGTTGAAAGAAAAATCCTGTTTTGTCCATATTGTACACGCAAGTTGGGTCATAATGGTTAATATTTGCACATAATTCATCCAAAGCTCGCAGAGTTTAAGAATTATTTTTTTCAATCTCACCGCCTTCACCAAACAAGTTTGTGTTTGTTTGACGATCATTAAGACGTTGGTCTTGGCCTTTGCATTTCATCGCACGTTGTACGCTCATGATTGCAAATGAACTCAAAATTGTGTTTCCTGTGTATTAACTTTACTATTATATGGGGTGGTAATACTAGGTCCGCATCTTAGTTAAGTCTGCACGAGACTTCCCATATCAAGTTGCAAACTTAAGCGAGTGTATATTGTATTATATTAGTTAATCTCAACAAAGAATTTTATTCGACATTATCATTGCATGCGTCGACAACAGAACTTAATCAACAAAATGCGATTGAAATGTTCAAAGGTAGCTACGATTCGCTAATTGTCATTGGAGAAAGTATTACCTCGGTTTTCAACTCATCGTTACCTTATTGTTGTTATGTCAACCAGAAGAATTTTGATTTGAAACCGACTGTCTTGTGGTGGTGCTTTATTTTCATTGATCTCAATAATTACAGAGATTGACATTATATTCAAAACCTTGCAGCATTCTATATTGTTGGTAACATAGCAAGAAATCGCTTTCTTTAGATTCATCTACTCTCTTTGGGATGTGACAGGAATGCAAAGTTCACTTTCTGAATTGCTATTGCAAGAACAAGATGAAGAAATCTGGTTTTATAACAGTTTTTACAAGATTGCGAATAATGTTGTTGTGCATTTTGTTTGAGGATGTGATTTGTTCATTGCGATGTCATTCAATAACTTGTGTCAAGTTGAGAAGAATGTTGTGGTTAATATTGTTGAAAATCTAACAGTTAGTTTTGCAGTAAGAATACATACGATCGAGCCAAAAAGGTATGGTAACAATGCAACGACAACGTTTTTATCCCCATGTCTTCCTCGCAAATTTGCGACCATGCCTGCATCAAGCTTCGTGGACTTGATCGTTAGATTTTCATCTCGGCTTCAAAAAAAATTCATCAATGAATACATTATCAGCTTTGAACGAGAAAAAAAAGAACTGCGAATAGCTTATCAAAGAGAAGATATACTCCGTGAAATAGTCAATCAAATGCCGGAATCTGTAGATTTCCATGAAGCATGTAGTGCTCTTGAACCTAGATTTTCCAAACCATGCACTTTTGCTGGAAGATTTGCTAGCGTATATCTTGGTACAATGCGTGTGGACAACAATTTTTCTGTGATTAGTAGGGGAAAAACGAGTACTGATCTTCCTTAATGGATCTGTTACTCAAGGGCATCATGCATTGTAAACAGTTTAAAGAAATTCAAGCAATTTAAAAAAGTGGTCATATTTGTCATGAATAAAATTTTGGTGATGCCATAATAGACTAATTTATGACAGATTTGGCAAATGTCAAGTTAGCTAAGGTATGCTTATACATCATCTGCAAGTTCATCTTTCGGTGACCATTCATGAGAAATGCACGAGAATGCTATCAAATACCTTCATCCCGGATTGGAAGCATGTGTGGACAGGTTCGCATTCGCTCAAGGAAGCTGCATTTTTATGGAGCATATATCATCGTCCAATTGCAATGAATTGATTCAAATCACCGTGCATTTGCAAAGGTTTCTGCATCTATATGCTCCTATTGCGACTTGGGCGAGCCCGGATCAATTCTCCATTGTTTCTTCACCGGCAGATGATGCTGCATGCATGAACATATGCCACGACAGTGCTACATACCGCGGCCCAGTGTCAAGTTAACAGCATGTCGTGGCCGACTCTTTCATGGTAGTAGTGTATTTTCGGAGCGCCAATCCGTCTTACCTTGCTGACATTCTTGCAATCTTGAACGCTCACAAGGAGCGCAATCCTGTGTGTGATCTGGATTCAGCGGAGTTAGCTTATCTTTCACATCCACAAGTGGTCGTCAGCACTCGTGGAGTAACGCATATGGGATGCAATTCTCGACTCGGTCGAGAAGTCATCCGCTAAGATTGCATAAAGCGAGAGGCATTAGCCACAGAAGTGTCCAAGGCAAATGACAATTTCATCACATGTGGGATCATGCAGGACTGCTCTTTGTCCGGAGACGCAGGGATAGTTTGGAACTACCAGAGCCATCACTTGCTACATTTATCTCTAGGTAATCACGTTGTCATCAAGTGTTTATTAGGTAAACAAACAAAATTGGTATTGCGAGCTTGCACCAACTTGCTCGGTTGTGCAAAGGTGTTTTTGATCGACTTTGCCGTGAAATAATATCACCATTTGCTTCTAAAAAATAAAATAGAATGTAGTCAAACATTTAAAAAATGACAATTTTACCTCTTTTTTGTATTATGTTTTTTTTAACTTTACAAAGAGTAATTATTTCTTGATATTTAAATTTATTTTATTAGACATAAACATGGTTCATAAAAGAAGATAGGATTAATGCCATATATTATCATGAAAAATCTATCATAATTTATACTACATGCTTTATCTCAAATTATACTGAACTTTCTTTACATTGACCTGTGATCAATTTTTATATTTTCAACTGGTAAATTTACCCCAAAATTGAAATATCATGATCAAATGAACAATATCTAACATATATAAAAAATCATTCTCTTCGCCCATATACGTTGCGACTAGGATGAAAACTTATCATAATACGTACATATAGTTCAAAAACACAATATAAAAATGTTCATATGTAACATGATATTTATGATGGAAGTGAATTTTGATCTAATTGTATAAGTTACTTACTATTTGTGCATGCATAATGCACTAAATTAGATTTCAATTTAACCAAACGAAGAAAAAACTTTCACAAAATAACTTTACATAATCTTGAAATTATATTTCCTACAGAAGTTTTCCAGTTAGGTAAATTGTGTTTATTTTAAATATGCATGGCTTTTAAAAATCACCTTCTTCCTATGTCTTTTTTTATTCACTTGTGTAAGTGATGACAATTTTTTCACCATTCTCAAGTAGATTAGAGTTGCACTGCCAGATATAACTCAGACTTACATTTCTTCACGTATTGTGAAGATGAGTGGAGCATTTTTGAAATTAATACCAATACCTAAAAAGTGCACACCATTTTCGTGATCCTTGTGCGCCGATATCACCTTTCAAATATTATTTTTCTTCACTTGGTAGCTATTCATACACTTTTTAACACACGTGGAATTCATGATAGGCCGGTCATAGTTTGAATAATATATATAGAAGTGACTAGAGATGACCACTACTATGACATAATTTATTGTAAGGGAGATAGATTAGATCACATTAGCAACAAAAATAAAGTATAATACCCCTAATTCTAAAAAGGTAAATAGTGTAATGATTAGTATCAAATCCTAGACCATGCAATGACTACAGATGCAATCAGAACATTGGTTGTACTGCAACTGACAACAGTGGTCATGTATTTTGGTTACACTTTATACAACTTCACGTAGTACCATAATCATGGATTGGCTAGACAACGTTCAGAATCATGAACTTCCTCTAGCCTGAACCCCACAACTACCCCTCTTTGGTACAAAGACCAAAGGTACATGAATTTTCCTCTCAAAGTTGCAGGGAGGTTGTTCGACACAACCCACCGTAATATGTGGCCCTTAACTTCGCTTGCAGCATCCACAGTGCACTTCTGTTTGACAATTGATACAGTATAACGCATAACGAAAGGGGCAAGGAACATTTCCCATTTTTCAGGTAATAGTTGCAACCTGCTCTTACAACAATCCTGCCAGATGTCTGACGAGTCGCTCTCTGAAAAGTAGGATATAACCAATTTCTGCGATACTACAACGTTCAAGGTCTGAGTACGGAAAATCTCTGCTGGTGCGAGTAATGTCATGAAGTATCGACTAAAAAGGTCAGGAGAGATAACCTTCACATAAAGCTCACCCTGTTTCCAGACTCGTTCAGTCACTGCATTTTTTAGAAAACTACTGGTTCCCTGCATTATACTCTAGCATACGTCTTGGGCATATACAATGCAGATCGACCGATAACAACAACAAAAAGAGCGCAGCACACAATGGAACTAACGTACTATGTGAAGACATCCTTCAATCTAGATCTTTCCTGTCGAAACTACATGGTCATGTTGATATGTTCGGGAAGATGAAGACAAGATGCGCTCATTAGATGCACTAGTTGGACTACGCCACATCTTTAAAAGAACTCAAGTGGTGTTAATTAAAATCAAGTCTGCATTTCTCAAATATGAACATTCAGAACTCATATCAAGACTGAGTAGATCTTCAAGATCGTTATGCACCTGGTTGCTGAGTACAACAATTGAGTTTTTAATATCTAGAAATGATAGTCCGGAAGTTAAAGAGGTATTATACACGGCAATACGCCACTCTTGTACAGGTGATAAGAATTCCTTCCTTTTATACAACTGAGAATAGTAATATACAGAGCGGTTTACTTTCCTACTTCCCCGAAAAGAAACGACGCCAAGACTGCCATGGAAGAAACCCCCCTGCCACGTTCAAAAGCACAGTACTGTCATTTGGCACAGGCTACAAGCAGATAATCATATAACAATGAGTATGTGAAAGTCAGCTGTGATTCCGCATAGAAATTTGTCTTCAGCCAGGAAAGCAAGCTTCACGTTTTTGAACCTCTGTCTACAAGCATACTTACGTGGCAAAAACGAACATAATTCTTTGAATCTATCTACGCATTTTCTACTAGAATGACAAACAAACTAACATAATTTTCAGTTATTTCTGCTAGCAGTTTGCTAGGAGGATCTGGCAAGCAGTTGAAAAATGGACGTGCAGAACGAAAGGATAAACAAATTCAAGATTTTTTCTCAGTCTATAATTGTAATACGTACCACAGCCATTGCATCGGACTAGGATGCCCACTCGTTTCACAAGCCCAGACCCACCACACACTTGACATCTTTTCTGCTCCATCTAAAATTATGACAAGAAAAGTTTTCTACATCATCAGTACACGCAGTTTTACCCTTTTGGCTTTCGCGAATCAACTAAAAGAGATGTGGTACAAACAAAATGGACCACTCCTATCTTTCGAACTTAACGTAATGAGAGAGAGGCATCAGAGTAAATAAGGACACGCATCTCTGCAACTCGAAGTACATGGTTACAATCACTTGGTGTTGCATGGGATGGGGTAACCAATCATCAACGTGGACTTACTAATCTGAAAATCCATCAAAGAAAGCCAACCCCTAAATATGTTGTGAATTTCTAAGAGACAGGGAATCTTCTGGAGACTTCATCCTTTAAGTCAAATTGCATCAGCCCAACCAAGATCAAGTTCCGAGATCATGCTAGAGAGCTTGATGTTGATAAGCAGTGGATCTGCTCTGCAGTAACGGATCTAAAGTAGATTCGATTAGATAGACGCGACTTGAAACATTCAGAATAGAATATTCCATGACATGTATTGCGTTTCGTCACTGGACGCTCGTGGACAATAGAGATGGACAGGTGAACGACTTGATACTCACAATGCGCTTGCTAAATTCGATGCCTGCGACCACGAAAGGTGTCACCCCAGCTGCCATGACGACAAAGAAAAGGCAATAATGAGTAACTTTAATTTAGTTCTTCTGATCCTTAGAAGTGAGCGGAATGAAGTACAATCCTTCGACGTTATCAAGGACGAGCATTACAAACGCTTGTAACCTGCCCCTTCGCCCACGGCACAGAACTGTCACTGGACATCGTGAATGATGATGGTGTATTATCGACTTTTTCAGCAAAATTTACTATCCTACGTTCTTTTTGTACAACACAGTGCGGGTGTCATATCGAGGAATTAAATAGGCATACGAGATTCTGGGTTTAACGTTGAGATACACAGCCCAGGTAAAGTGTTCTCAAAACTTTCTCTGTCCAATTCCAGTTACGGAGACACATCCTGCATGTGCCATCGGAGCAGGTTGGTAGTACATGACAGGTACTCATTCACAAAAGTTTATGATTGGTGTCCATCTCTAAAGCTGTAAGAGAGGATGCTAATCAGAGTAAAAAGCTCGCATGAGTAGTCCAACACCTCACCATCACCTGATTCATGCTAGACAGACAAGTCAGACTCTGCAGAGAAACCATAAACTCTTCTTCGACGTGTAGAAAAGCTTTCAGCCTTATACGGAATTAAGTTGCAAGATATGTTCGAACCCATGTGAAGGTTGTTGGATGAACTGAACACATATGACTGAAACAAAAGTGTGAACGCCTTTCGGTGGCATCCTCTTACTGGCGCCGACCCTGACTCTGAGTACAGATTGTGAGTCCTTCTCTCTAAAGAGGCGAATTCTACCGATACTTACGAATCGTAAAATCTTTGCATTGCTGATATACTGAAGCACATCTAATGATAGGGAAATGACAGAGGTAGCTACAAGGTTCTTCGTACTAAAATGCAGGAAATGAACGCCGGTTTAACTTTTTTAATGTCTGCATTAAATCCTCCCTCGATCCCGTCCGACCAACCGACACACAAATTTTTGTCTTCCAGGTATAGATGTTTGACGATAAAGGGCGACGAAAGAAGTTGCCCGACGCTACTCCCAGGGAGCCAACGACACGATCACTGCACATTGTGCATACATGTTCTTCGATCGATGATCAACAGTTGCAACTTGAACAAGAACAGTATCGTCAAAGAGGTTTTCCAGTTACGAGAACGCTAACCAGACGGCAGTTAGTTCAATACTTTTGCATCAGACTGGTCTCGTTGAACCCTTAGAAACAGAAAAGAGAAGCAGGAAGAAACAACTATTGCAACCTTGACCAAGATGACTGCTGTGAAACTTTGACTGATTAAATGCGTGGCTGAGTCTCGGAGTTCCCAATGGATAATATCTTCTCGTGGCTCAAGGGCAGAAGTACATAACATTTTATCTTCATCCAGGTAGTTCGCTGTGGTTGAACTGTTCCTACTACGCTCTAATAGTTAGTTCATCAACTCAATGGTAAAAGGCAACTTCTAGGCCACTGAGTTTGTTGCGTACATAGTCGTATGCTCCATACTCGTTGAAAGTAGTGGTTCCAGCGACAAATCTGCTGAACGACGTAACGTCTGATCAGCAAGAGGAGAGTTAGTGTGACGCACTTCCCCAAGAAAAATCAGGCTCTGGAGAGAAAAGTACACAAAATGGACACATACGCAGATGCTTTCTTGTGGTTTAACTGTTCCTCTTCTGCGGAAATTTATGGACAGAGAGTATGGAACTTCGAAGTTCAAGACGGTAAGATCAGTACGATGATTAACCAGAACAGTTGTTTAACTGCTTTGCTGCCTCCTGAATTTGAGGGGTAGTATCAATTCCACGACCCTGGGCATGTGGGAAGTACGCACACATTTCAAATTCTATACCTCGCTATCGCTGTCGAGCCGACCAGTCTTCATGGGGAAGGAGAACTTCGAGGCTACAGGCATTGTGCAAGCGTATGAGATTCGCAAATGGCAAGAAGTTTGAATTCAGCTTTCAACTGATTCGAGCCATCATGCGCAAGTGACGCTCTTGATCCTGATGAGAACGACGTGGGCTTCATCAAGAGTCCTTAAAGCCTTGAAGATAAAAAGGTTCAGACGTCGGATTCCTTTACACTTGGAAGTGAAAAAGCGGAGCAATCTGCTTCACGAGAAGGAGCAATTTGGAGAACAGTGCACTTTCGGCAGCATAGAGATTCATATCGGGAAATTAATTGTTGCCAGCTTTCGGCTAATCGGCCCGGTGGCTGCAGGGCATGACCACAGAGTTGATAGTCTCCGAGTCGACAAAACTGACGAAGACGACGGGAACATGGTCCACATTGTTCAACAATACGTACATATAACATAAGTATCGGGCGGTAAGCCAGACGTACAGATCCACTTTTCTCTTCGGTATCGAAATCCAAGAATAATCAAAGCGAGTCATCGACGCTGCAGACAGTTATAAATGTAAAAAAACGAAAAAAATAATCGCATCGCATGGCGCGAGAGCTCACTAGAATGGCATAGCGTCCGACTAACAAGGCATGTGCGGGTGGTATCGCCGAATTTGATGAGGTGGGTGATACTCTAGGAGGTTGAGAACTGGGTACAGGAGACCAGGACGCAAGTACTTCGCAGAGATGGAGATAATTGGTCGCGTGGGGTCTCGAGATAAATGGGGGAGAGGAGTGGTTCGAGGCTACAGAGCTGTTGTAGTTCAGAGTCGCAAAGAATATGGAACATAAAATACCCGACGCACAGACATGGTCAAAAGACCAGATGACGCGGTTTCCCACAACTATCAGGAAAGCACAAGATTCTCATACCGATGGCACCCGCGGTGATTTGCCATGTCAGGTCGGTAGTGGCAGCAGATGTCACAGGCTCCAGGAGCTCCGACGATGCGCGAACTCCCACTCGTTGCTGTTCCACTTTCAGTCTCCTGTGCGGCTGCCGCTGCTGTACGAGCTCAACCTTCCGCAAGCACACTAGTCCATTGACCGATGATGATGGGAAGAGCTCCGTTCCCGAGATGACTAGCGCCATCTTTCTCGAGACTGCCTCCTCTTTCTCTCCGCCTCTGTTGATGCCTCCGGCACGAGCAAATTTGAAACTTTCCCATCGCTATCTGGCCCCGCTTTGCCGCAAAGAAACTGCTCCGTTGTGTCCGTCGCAAGGACAGCCTCCACCACTCCTTCGGCGACGTGGTGTTCGCCTCCTGGCCTTCACTCTTCCGTAAGGTCCGTCTCCCTCCAACCATGAGCTTTTCCATTTGTCACCATCTCCTTGCTCGCCACATCTTCGGGTTTTGCCGAAGAAAGGACCTCCCTCTCTCGCTTTTTCTCCCTGTCCGCTTGCGCTCCCACTTCTCGTCATGATTAGCGCTCCCAAATTCCTCCAAATCCTTCTCTTCCCATGCTCATTCTTTTCGTGGCCTTAGTACCTATCGAACAACGTAGTTCTTCGATCACGATAGTACTTTTCTACGCCATACTCTTCGTTGTCCTCGTGATTAGTGCTTTACGCAGAACTCTTCCGATGCGCCGTTATCGTTAATTCCCTTGAAATTTGACAAATTCTGCGCCAATTTCTTGAATTTCTGTTAAGGAATGTTCGACATTCTTACATGGCCTCGATTGCAGAGCCCGAGTTTGAGAGGCACATTCGATTATTCATCATCACAATGCAGTTTCGAGTACATTTCCGCAGGACCACATCTGACGCTAGATCTTTGACAATGGCTGAAACGGTTGAAGCCAAACCTCACGTCACATCATTCTCAGGGTCTAAAGAATTCTTCCAGCTTCTGTCATTAAAATGAATTTAGTGACTGATGTCCAGATCCCTTTCCAGAAATCGCATCCTTGGCCATCGTCTTGGCTCTTGTTGGCGATCTGGGCTTTGAACCATTCTTTCCGATTTGTTGAAAAGTGGCCACACTTTCAAAGCATGAACGAATGATTCTCTCTTTGGGAGTTCGGGACTTTCTATTTGGGGTCGAGTCATGAGAATAAGATGCCACTCGCAGTCTTTCTCTTCTTCTGGTCTCTGCGTTTGGTGCAACCTTGCAGCTTTATAAGCATGAGCTATGATATCATCAAAAGCAGTCGATAGTTTGAAAGTGTCTCCTTTCATTTGAGCACAATTTGTGAGGACCAGGATTGTACAGAAGTGGTAGTTGTTGTTGTAAAGTCTTAAGAAAGAGTCAATGCAGAAAAGTTCTCCTAAACTGCAGCATCATGTATATGTACCTTTCACATGAACCTTCAACCTGGTCGGTCATATCTGTCTAAGTTGTTGGTTTCAAAATTAAATCAAGAACAAACTGCATACTGCCCATTTTATTTATTTTTTAAAAAGTTTAACATTTTTCAATGTACAGTTTTATGTTGTTTAATATGGTTGAACTCAAGTTCAGATTAATCTCAACGATTTTTTCCCGCGGTTATAGAATAGGTCTTAATAAGGGGAATTACACTTATAGTCTCCATATTAGTTGAAGTGTCTTGATGATATGAAAATACTCAAATACCAAGCAAGCCTGACAAGCTCTTTCGTAGAAGTAAAACCTCACCTTGATACCACTTGTTAACCCTTGGGGGTGGTCACTTTAGTCATTAGAACGTGTTTTTTACCAGCAAAGAAGTTGTAGTATAGCACACACGCGCAAACAAACGAACGTTGCTCCTGCTCAGTCAATGCAGTTCACCAGATACTGTAGTTCGCCAAACAGTTCCTAGTGACAGGTACAGAACAAAGCTCGAAACTGAACTTTTGGTCTAATATGGTTGATCATGGTAGGTAATCATGTATCAGAGTAGTTTGTACTTCGATTGGTGAACTCCTTCCATCAGTTGTTCTCAAGTAACATATACAGTTGTCTTGGTTTTTGCATATCGATATTTATGATTATATTTCACGTAAAGATATTATATGGTCATATTTAAAGCATTTCAATGGGCCTCATCTTCGTTTTTGGGCCGTTGAAACTTTGATAATCAGAGATATAAACGTTTTCTTCAGCGAGATCATTATACCTGATGCATCGACTATAGTGTCGCTAGTTTTTGTTAGTGTCCAGTCTTTGTTTTCTTCCTCTAAAGTGTTTTGAATATTGATACAATTTTATTGATTTTCATTTTAAATTTGCAAGCTTTCTGAAGTGTTTGTGAAATTGCTCATTCACGCTTCTTCGACTGTTACTGCTATATTTTATCTGTGTACTTATGGATTAATAACATTTCTCGGTTGCATTATCTCTTTCCCAGATCTATGGAAAAAGCAGCTAACAGCAATATTCATTTTTGTCCTTTTAGGTTCGAATTGAGGTTTCAAGATTTATAAAGTGTGTGTGAAGTTACATCGGCAACACGAAGACTCGAAAGTTTAGCATATTATCATTCCGTGTTCAGCTTGAAGTCCTTTTGAGTGCTACATTTTCACATTATTAGGTTTTAATCTAAACTCTGAACATATCTAAGATCTGATTTGGTTTAATTTATATGTTTCTCACGTGGAGTTAGTACTTGTCATCATGCTGCTTTGTTTTTTTCTAAACTCTATAACTGAGTTCATCTTCTCTTCTAGTTTTTTTTCCCACCAGTCTTGTTAGCTATTGAAAGTAGTAATCATTTGAAGTTCCTCTACACTCGATTCAATCGAGTTGTTGTACAAAATTGTACAACTAGTGTAATAATCCAAAATTTCACTTTCGACTAATCTAATATCAAGTCTCAGTCAAGATTTGAACTTATTGGGATTCAGATTATTTTGCTTTACAGATGTGTCTGACTGCAGGTGGAGTGGGGAGATATTTTTTTGTTCCACTTTCGGTTGTGCGTGGTACATCCCATGTCTGCTCTTTTTACTTTCCGAAATGTGAGAATGAGCATTCACATATATGAAAGTCATTGTGGATATACGATCTGAACCACCATGAGATTGTTCACAGAGTTTTGTTTTGTGAGTTGAGGTTTGAGATATAAGAAATCATGATTCATGCAGAATACGTTACTGAACTTTCCAAGGTCAGGGTAATAAATCTTAACACTTGATGAAATACAAATACTTCTAAGAAACATACTCTGAAATTAATCGTTTTTCCAAGCTTTTATGAAATAATACCTGATTTCACAAGTAATAAATTCAAGTAAAGTACACACAGGTCTTCATCTTACCTCTCTTTTGTACTTTTGAGATAATCACAACAACCATTCATGCACTCAGAGTCTTAGAGGAGAGGTGTCAAGGATTGGTACTCCAGACTGTCGACCACTTGAGTTGTTGAGATGATATATTCTCTTCAAGTATAGTGTCTCTCTCTCTCTCTTTTACAAGTTCCCTTTCAAAAGACCATTTTCATACAAACAAGTTGAGTCCTTGATTTGATTTCTCGCCAATTGACGATGAATGTTCCTGAGCAAGGCAGTTGGATCAACTATGGTCTAGATTCCTAGCTGGGCGGTACCGTGAAAGTTCTGCGACAATAATTAAGGAACCAGTGATTGGTTCCAAACTCTGCTCTTTAGTTCCTTTGCACATGTCGGAATTCTACAGTACTTCCCTTGTGATGAGACGATTTGCGTTCTCATTACCTACTTCAAGAATTTTCATCTTTATGGTTTTCTTTGAAATATTTTTACTTAGAAAGCGAACAAAACAAATTGTCTCAACTCTTAAATACTCAAGCGAATATATTATTCTGATCTCACTCAACTGCTGTCTCGACCTGTCTGCGCGTAGGGCGGTGAGGTTTCACCAACTAAGATAAAAGGGCTTCCGAGTGAGAGCAGCTAAGAGGAAGAAAAAGGTTCTATTACAAGGTTCCATTCACACGCCATCATGGTTCGATCATCCTTTGATCCCTGGATCTCCTTTGTATACTGTGAGCGCCTTCCAGCTGATTACCTCGATACTTATTTACCAAATGAGGACACCAAATGATTCCGTGTAATCACAACATTCATGTGCAATTTGCAGTCGTTGGCCACTGCTAAAGTTGGTCTTAGGTACCTTTTGCCGGGAACTTAAAACAGGAGGACGAGTTTCAGGTTCATGCATTCTGACGGTGATCTACAGTAGGGTGCACTGGAATGTATGTGCACAGTCGTCTGAACTACCTTTTACGTGGTTCACCACATGGGACATACCCAACCAATTTGCGTTTTTGGACCTGCATCACGTGGTTCAGTTACAACTTTGTTGTTCGTTCATTCCTTCAGGAAATCGGTTTCGCTAGACATACACACAACGCTCACGTGATGGATCGAGACTAATCACTTTGTAGATTGGCCGAGATGTCCAAGAGGAACATTTGGCACCTGAATCTTTGTCATTGAGATTGGGAGCACAAGAAAATATGCTTATTTTTGTATGATATCCCGTGCAATATTCTTGACATGTTTCTGGGGAACAATCCGTTGCGAACTGCCACAGAGGGGACATGTAATTATGGCCAGTTTTGATTTCTCCTCCCTCCCTCTCTCTCTCTCTCTTCCTTCTCTCTCCTTTGTCAAGTTTGTCTCACTTTTACTTTGTACGTAGTTGAGGCGAAAAGAGGCAGTCAGTTGTCATCTCGAGAGCTTAATCCCGTCGGCTTGTCATATGCATATGACATGCACCTGCGCATACTGGATTTCACCTTGTTTTACGACACGATGAAGTCTCGCAGTTTACAAGATCGAATCGTCTGGACTCTCATGGAAGACAGGAATGAAGAGTAATCTTTACAGCACTTTTCGTGGATCGAAGATATAGAGATAAGAGTGGATTCCGGCTGCTTATCCACCGGGCCGACTCGGTTGGGTCATGAGGGCGTCAGGCTTACTCGGTTGCCGTGGTAACTGTGGTCGGGATCTCGCTGGCGACAGTAGAGTTGAATTTGGACGCTGCGTTTGCAGGTGAAATGCGACTGGAAAAGTTGACGTCGTACGCCTCAGAAATGGACAAAGGTCCTGGCACCAGGCACCACCTTCTTTGCACGGTCATCCAACATCAAAAAGACATCCGCAGCCAGCAAATAAAGAATAATGAGGAATAGATCTATTCTCGTTGGGTACAGTCTGGGAGAATGAGCATCTTCCTGATGGAACATACACTTTTCTTTGATGCATTCTCGTTCGACGCCGATTCAAACTTCATGACCTTATGGTCACGTATGGAGTCTTGCCACATCTCTGAAAGCTGCTTGCTCACCACATTCTCGATGCACCATTCTTTCAGTTCCCTACCACTTGATTTTCTCTTCAAATCATAGGTTCTGTTTTGTTTGTACGTCCAGCCATCAACGAATTAAGCCTGACGTCCTCCAATCATGCGAGATGCTAATGTGTCGTACAGAAGGAATTTATCAAGCTAAAACGCCTATTAGAAGTTAAATTTCGCCCATAATCTTTGTCACCATGACGAGGGTCAAGGTAAACCTAAGCTCTCCTCTGTACTGTTCGAGTCTAGATCCTTAACATTCCCCTCCTTTTCCTCTGAAAACTTTGTTTCCATAGTTTGAGAATATGACGGACATAAGACCTCTGCAAATTTGGTGCATTCCTATTTTAATCCAAATGCAGAATGTCCCATTTATGAGTGCTCTAGAGTTTGGCAATTTCTGAACTCTCGCGTCACTCGAAGCTACAATATGTGTCTGACTATGAAGACCACGCTTCAATGACTGTGAGGAGATTCTTTGACTTCTTCAGCATCGATCCAGTTTTTGGGGATACTGAGCCAGGATCCACGGTGTAGATATATTGGAAATATTATCAACTCAAATAAATCAAAAATTGCACATCAGTGAGCGACTTATTTCTATTCCTCTGAATAAAAATATGGACATATACACACGATTTTTACACATGGAGAACCTTTCTTTAAGCGGATGGTTTGACTCATGCCAAGCAAGGGGTCCATGGACCGAGAAACGATCCCTACAAGGACATTAAGAACAGTGAAGGAGTTCATGAAGAATCAATCAGACCACGACGGTCGAAAACCTCGTGTTACCTCCTCATAGTCTTTAGTGGAGGAGATTGAGGACCACGTTGTTTACATTTATATTACAAATATTATCCGCTTCTTGCTTTCCTGATATTCGAA